CTCCATTCGAGCGAATAATTCTACTTCTAATCTTGCTCTTTTTTCAGCCCAAGAAGTGCCGAATCTTTGGCACCGGAGGCTTGGTCATCCAGCAAAGCAAAAACTTCAAGCACTCAGTAAATTTGTTCCATCTTTATGTAATAGAAATAAGCTGAACTTCATTCACTGTGATGCTTGTAATGTGGCCAAGAGCCATCGTCTTCCCTTTACGCTTTCTACTTCAACTACGTCGCATATCTTTGAATTAGTACATTCCGATGTTTGGGGTCCCTCCCCTATTACTTCTGTTCATGGTTACAAATATTACGTTTCTTTTATTGACGACTATTCCAAATTTAGTTGGGTTTTTCCTTTAGCTCAAAAATCTGAAGTGTTTGTTAAATTTGTAGAATTTAATAATATGATTACAAATCAATTTAACAAACACATCAAGATTTTTCGCTCCGATGGTGGCGGTGAATTCCTAAATAATAATTTTCGTTCTCTTTTCAAAAATTTAGGAATTATTCACCAGTTTACTTGTCCGCATACGCCCTCGCAAAACGGAGTAGCAGAAAGAAAACATCGTCATATTTTAGAAACAATGCGTACGTTATTTTTTTAAGCTCATCTTCCCAAAGGCTTGTGGGTCGATGCTCTTCATACTGCTGTTTACCTTATTAATAGAATGCCGTCTCGTTCTTTACATAACAAAAGTCCTTATCAAATGCTTTATCAAAAATATCCTGTTTATAATCATCTTAAAATTTTCGGGTGTCTTTGTTACCCGTGGCTTAGGCCTTATAATAACAATAAACTTTCTCCTTTCTCTATTTCTTGCATTTTTATTGGTTATGCTGCTTTTCAAAAAGGATATAGGTGCCTTAATCCCTTAACTGGACAGGTTTATACTTCTCGAAATGTTGTTTTTAATGAAGCTATATTTCCTTATAAATCTTCTTCTCAGGATGGTTCTCAGTCGTCTATTTCTCCTTCTATTCCACCGCTGCTTCTTGTTCCTACATCATCTACCATCACGCCATCTTTGGGTGCTCAGTCTATTGTTCAGCCCCGATCCGGACATTCTCCACTTCAGTCACGCACTTTGCATACTACGTCTTCTGTTATTCCTTCTCCGGATAACGTTAGCTCTCTGTCTAAACAATTACCTCCTCCTACCACTCATCCGATGCAAACTAGATCCAAAACTGGACATTCTTGTCCAAAACACATTCTTAGTCTGGCACACATTACATCTGACATCGAACCTCATACTTATACCGAAGCTATCCGGTCCTCACATTGGCGTCAGGCTATGTCCCAAGAATTTCAGGCGCTTCAAACTCAAGGCGCTTGGGATCTTGTGCCTCCCGATCCAACTCAAAATGTCCTTGGGTGCAAATGGATCTTTCGTACCAAATATCTTGCTGACGGTACGATTGCTCGATACAAAGCTAGACTAGTTGCGCAAGGATTCAACCAAGAACACGGCCTCGATTACGCCGAAACGTTTAGTCCGGTTGCCAAGATGCCTACTGTTCGTATTCTCATTACAATTGCTCTCCATCACGCGTGGCCGCTCCATCAATTAGACGTGTCCAACGCTTTTCTTCATGGGACTCTTACTCATACGGTTCATATGAAACAACCGATTGGCTTCGTTGATAGCGTTCATCCAGACTATGTTTGCCGCTTGAAAAAGGCCCTTTATGGGCTCAAACAATCTCCCCGTGAGTGGTTCGCTACATTAACTGGTCATCTTCAATCTCTCGGGTTTTCAAACAGCTCGTCCAATCCATCACTTCTGATCTACCACAAAAACGGTATACAAATGTATTTTTTAGTTTATGTTGATGATATTATTCTTACAGGAAATTGTTCAAAAGCCATTAACACTTTGCTTGATAATTTGAAAACCACATTTACCATGAGGGATCTCGGTTCCCTCTCACAGTTCTTAGGTATCCAAACTGTTCATACTACCTACGGTGTGCATTTGAACCAAAGCAGATTTGCTCAATCTATACTTGAACGTGCTGGTATGTTAAATTGTAAATCTGTTTCTACTCCCTCTTCCTCTAAAATTTCTGTTACTAATGATTCAAATAATTCCTTTTCAAATCCTACTTTATATCGACAACTTGCCGGATGTCTTCAATACCTTACACTTACGAGGCCGGACATTGCCTACACGGTTAACAAAGTATGTCAGCATATGCAAAATCCGACTAATGCTCATTTTGAAGGACTTAAACGGCTGCTCCGGTTTGTTCACGGTACTATTCATCATGGTCTTCCGCTTTTTCATGACAAGCCTGTTCTTCGTTCATACGCTGACTCAGATTGGGCCGGTGATCCGGCTGACCGAAAATCTACTTCCGGTTATTGCAATTTTCTTGGCTCTTCTCTCATTTCTTGGAGTGTCAAGAAACAAACAACTGTTGCTCGATCGTCAACTGAAGCTGAATATCGGGCACTTGCATCTGCTGCTGCGGAAATCACCTGGATTCGCAGATTACTTCAAGAACTTAATTGCCCACAAGAAGACGCAACAGTGTTATTTTGCGACAATACCTCTGCTATAGCCCTTGCTAATAATCCTTTGTTTCATGCAAGAACTAAGCATATTGAGGTGGATTGTCATTACATTCGAACTTGCGTCAAGGACAAACTCATTCAAATTCAACACATTTCTACCCAAGATCAACTTGCTGATTTGTTTACCAAATCACTACCTTCAACCAGATTTAAAAGTTTGTCGACCAAGCTTATGAACCCTCCGGATTCATCATCTTGAGGGGGGCTGTTAGAATATTATTAATTCCAGTTTATATTTCCTGTTTTACACGTGTAGTCTTTCTATTTGTTCTCAGTTTTCTATTAACATTGTAAGTCTATATATAGACATTTGTACTGTTTACATAAACAAGAAAATCTCTTTTCTCTGTTTCCATTTCCTGCTTCCTGGCCTTTTCTTGTTTGGCTTCGGCTCCGTCTGAGCTATCATGGACCAATTATAATAAATTTTTTAATACTTTCTCACAACTTTTTAAAAATTTCTATAGTAAAAAGCTACTTTATGCAGCTATAGAGTGAAATTATTTTCTCTATAATAACTTCAAAATTAACTTTATAAAACACAACAGTTCTCCCAAACAGTCCCTTACTTACAAAATATTCATCGCATCTACATCATAATTTTTCCATCTTTTTTTAGAATAGTGCTACGTTTGGGATGTCTTTCTTACTACTTCTTAAATCAGTTTTCTATAAAGCTATTTTAAGAAACAATAAAAAAGTCATTTTAGATTTCGTTTGGGACGGCGTTCTTACTACTTCTTAAAGCAGCTTTCTAGTACCAAAATAATTTTTGTACTAGAAAGCTGCTTTAAGAAGCACTAAGAAAGCCGTCCCGAACAAAGCCTAAATTGCATATGGAGCACAATGGAGTATAATATAACATGGCATTCAATTAACTTTATTAATTCAAGAGTTCATTAAAGTAAATATTGATTATTTTAATGGATATAATTCACAGGAGTGTATTTAAAAAGCTGATCCTTTATTTTTGTACAACATAGTTGATTAAAATGTTTAATAATTGCCTTGTTGTATAATTATTTGACGTCGAAGGTATAGAATCATGATCGTAATCTTCACATCTATAAAAAAGAGGAAGTGTGGGCCGCTTATAATGGGCCAATGGGCCAATAGTAATGAGTGGCATTCATTTGAAACACCTGCATGATGGGATTGTCAACTCACGCAAATACGAAAATCCGGCACGCAATCAGATAAGAGAGAGGATCTAGTATTTACGAGACACCAAGATTTTTACGTGGAAAACCCCTGAAAAAGGGGGAAAAACCACGGGGCCTAGCTCAGTTTGAATGAATCCACTAGTATTGCAGTCGATTACAAATGAGGCCCTTCCTTGGTGGAAGGTCTTAGCTTGATGTACATCTTATGGATTACATGATGTAAATACAAAGAATCACTATTGACATGTTCGCTTTGTTAGAAGGACTGCAGTCGGCGGGCGACGTAGGTTAGGAGGACCGTAGTCAGCAGGCGACGTATGTCGGAAAG